ATATTTGTAGCAATATCCAACAATACATTGTATGGGTCAAAATTATAGATTTTTCTTTTATGCCAAAAATCATTAGGCCCTTAAGTAAAGACCATGTTCAATTAATATATTTTGTAGATTTCCTACTGAAAATATATCAAAATTTAATTTTTGATTAGTAATATGCATTGCTAAGAACTTCATTTGGACAACTTTAAAGGCCATTTTCTCAACATTTTTTTATTCAGATTTTCAAATAGTTGTATCTCGGCCAAATATTGTCCTATCCTAACAAACCATACATCAATGGAAAGCTTATTTATTCGGCTTTCAGATGATGCATAAATCTCAATTTCAAAAAATGTATCCTTATGACTGGTTTTGTGGTCCAGGGTCACATATGTCTTTAAGGCTAACAGATATTGACTAAAAGCCTCAAATCCAACTTGAATGAAATGAACCAATGGAACTGGTATACAGATATGTGTGCTATGAAGATATGAAAAACAACAGTAACAGTGTTTTTATACTGATGTGTAAGTTGTTTTAAAACTCTGATGGACAGGGTAACAATGAAATCAGTAGAACAGATGACTGCAGTTTTTCAACATTTCCTGATAAGGGTGTAACGCTACATTTTTATGTAAACAAAAATTTGTGAAGGCTGCTAAAACTGACATCCGAATCATGGTCTAACATGAGCCCACTGTGCCATTCGACAAATCACCGAATCCTTTGCTGCCCCAAGGGGGGCTATTCATACAGGCAGAGAACTGTCACTATGGCAATAACACCATCTGTTACAGCGGAAAAAATGAATACCTTGAGCCATTTCTCTACTTCAATACCTCCTATATTGACTTTATTTACTGACTTTATTAAAACAAATATTAAATATCATATAGTGACCACCAATTAAATATATGGTGTGTAGTGGATGAAGTATCAAGGCAAAGTGTAACGGACAAATTACCTGGATTCAAATGTTGAAACATTTTTCGCCACATAGTGTATTGAAGAGGAGCAATGTGTTTGCTTCTGAAAGTATTCAGGTTGATATTCAGCTCTTGCAGAGGCGATCTGTAATAATAATACATAAAGATATTAAATGTTTTATAGAGATAAGTACAAATTATCATTTTTATCATTAATAACTAACACACTTAGTTATTAAGTTTAGCATTTTTTATTATCAAATAGTGGAATAAAATAGTTAAATAGTTCCAATAGTCTGTACTATGGTACCGAAACTGTGATATTTGAGTGGTACAGACTACAATTAAAGAGTCGTACAAGGAACATTATTAGATATCTATACAGTGGTAAATAATAATAATAATAAAAATAGCTTTTTAATTGCTACTCACTTGGAATTCAATTCTGGAAGCTGTGGAGGAAGGAAGTGGAATAGAACAGGTTATTTCACTGACTCAACTACAGAAGCTAGAAAGAACACAGCAGAAGCAAACCATCTGTCCGATAATTAACAGCACATGCTCAAATCACTGTAGAATTGAGTTTTCTTCAGTTCTGCTGTTGTGTGAAATATATATGAGGCTCTGGCTGTAGCTGCACTTCACTAATAACTCATTCTGACAACCAGCACTCTAGGTTCTTGTGTAAATATGACATTAATATTCCAAATATTAGTTCTATGACAAATGGATATGCAGCAGCAGCAGCAGCAGCCTTCCAAACGGAAACAGTCATTATAATCACCTCTACAAGTACAGATTGGTCTGTGCTGCTGGCAGTCTGTCGTAGCATGTTGATGTTCTGCTCCACGTCTCTGATGGCCACCTGTAGGGCCTCCAGATGTCGCTCCAGCCTCTGCAGCATTTCCTCCTGCTCCCTGCTCAACTCCTCCAACATGGCTTCCTCCTCCACCCGCAGGAAGTGATGCAGAGCTTGGAAGTCGCTGTGCACTCGCCCCTGCAGCTCAGCCCCCATTTTCTGAGGGTAGGAAAGGGAGAGTTGTGTGATTCTGTTTTGCAGGAAGTGTCAAAGTGTGATCTTTCTCTTTTAAAGGTAGACCCACTTTCATTTTCTCCATCTTGTCTTTGTCTTCCCGGATCATAGTGACATAGGCCTCTTTCATGGAGACTTGCGATTCTAGACGGTCCTTTAATTGCTTCTAGAAAAGAGCAAATGGTAAACACAGACAAAGTATTAAAGAAAATCAAAACGGTATTTTCATGATTGTCTCAGCCTTAGTCAGCACAGTCCATTTTCTGACAAATGGGCAGCAATTTCCCAGTATTTTTTTTTTTATTGGCTTCATGCAAATTCCAGGAGCCAGTATTAACAGTGTCAACAATAAAAAGATTTGTTGTCAAATTAAATAAAACAGAATAAATGTTATGTTTAACACATCTGATGTGGCTGCCCTTCCACAGGAGGAAAACTTGTTAGAGCATCTAAAAATGTAATGTCCAAGAATTCTACCTTTTATCTGTAGAGCACAGTTTATTGAAATCAAATAAATAAGTGGGTAGCCTGAAAAACAAAAACTGATCAGAGACACTTCTATAAGGTTCACTGAAGCGAACCGTTTGAAACTGATACCATAGATTCACATCCTCGTGCGATAACGCTGTCTCTCCAGTTTGTTTGTTGCAACTTCAATTATGATCCAATTATGATTCATTGTGAGGTACTGAATCATAGCATACATGTATAATATTATAAGGTAATTGGTGATACCAAGACTTGTTTATGTGAGATAAAGTTGGAGCAAAATCAAGTGAACAAAACTTATTTTTAACTGAATGTTACTTTTCATAAAAAACACTTTAGGAATGTTTTTGTTGTTTTTTTTTTTCTTGTACATTCATGTTTCTTTAATATTTAATGATAAGTGTTTGTTGCAGAGCTGTAGTTTTCTTTTAATTTAATTTTAGGGCTATTTTTAAGATGCTGTGATATAACAATTTCCCTTGTGGGATCAATAAAGTATATCTAAATCTAAATTAATAAAGTATATTTAAGCATGAAAGATTTTTCCCTGTAACACAGCGAGTGTCATTTTCAAAATATGGTTTTGTCTTTATTGTTAGTTAGCACATGACTGATACAACCTAATAATCACTGTAGCGATTAGTATATTCTACAATAAAGAGCTAATCTAATTTCCACTATTTTCTGTGTTTTCTACAGCAGGTCACAAACTGGCCTGACACTGCTGTACATTTAATTCAGATTAATGGCATAAAGACACAAAGATGAACTGTGGTTGTCATCTATCTTCCTGTCTAAGCGTGCGGTGGTCCAGATTTTATGCTGACAGAAATCTTATAACTGGTTGTGTTATAAAACACAAACAACCAACAAACAGGTGAACTCATGTTAATATTGAATGTAAACCATATTGCTTAGGGAGGTATAAAACATTCAGTTTAAAATGTCTGAAATGCTTTATTATGAAATGGCATATTATAAATAAACACAATTATAGTAAGGCTTTGGAAATAAAACAAGGACCAGTATCAGATCATACAAAATCCATTTATGGTGTTTTGGAAATTCTCAAGTCACTTGACTAAGGCTTGTGATTTTCGAAACGAAAAATCATGAGGCTTTATAGACCTTTATATCTGGAAAAATGAGGAAGGACATTTTCAAGAAACATTTAATGAAAAACAGAACTTGTCATTTAATGCTGACATTACTCATACACTACCGTTCAAAAGTTTGGGATCTTTAATGTTTTTAATGTTTTTTACAGGAGTCTCTTCTGCTCATCAAGGCTGCATTTATTTGATCAAAAATAAAATGTAATAACTGTAATATTGTGAAAGGTTTAAAATAACAGTTTTCTTTTTAAAATATATTTTAAACTGTAATGTATTTCTGTGATGCGCAGCTGTATTTTCAGCATCATTACTCCAGTCTTCAGAGTCACATGATCTTCAGAAATCATGCTAATATGCTGATTTATTATCAGTGTTGGAAACTGTTGCTGCTTCATATTTTTTTGGAACCCGTGATACTTTTTTTCAGGATTCTTTGATGAATAAAAAGTTAAAAAGAAGAGCATTTATTTAAAATAGAAATATTTTCTAACAATATACACTACAGTTCAAAAGTTTGGGGTCAGTGCATTTGTATTCTTTCTTTTTTTAAAAAATAAATTAAAACTTTTATTCAGCAAGGATGTGTTAAATTGTTGAGAAGTGATAGCAAATATTTATATTGTAAGAAAATATTTATATTTTGAATAAATGCTGTTCTTTTTAACTTTTTATTCATCAAAGAATCCTGAAAAAAGTATCGCAGTTTTCATAATAAATCAGCATATTAGAATGATTTCTGAAGATCATGTGACACTGAAGACTGGAGTAATGATGCTGAAAATTCAGCTTTGATCACAGAAATAAATTATATTTTAAAGTATATTAAAATAGAAACCATTATTTTATATTGTAATAACATTTTGCAAGATTACTGTTTTTTTCTGTATTTTTGATCAAATAAATGCAGCCTTGATGAGCAGAAGAGTCTTCTTTAAAAAAACATTACAAGTCTTACTGATCCCAAACTGTTGACCGGTAGTGTGTATGTGTATATATATATATATATATATATATGTGGGGCAGACAAGAGCATGTGTGCTATCTATTTGAGAAAGGAAGATGCTCTTTATTAATTAGCAAGTACCAAGAGTAGTATTTTGGAAAATGCCAACATTAATATGCAATTTAATATTTTTAAATTGTCACATTGTGTGTGCACAATTAGGAAAACCAATGTAGACTGATTCTTTACAATAAACAACACTAAAAGTCTTAAATAAACAAAGACTAAAACATCACTCGTATGTAATGCACAGCTCTATTGATTTAATATATATTAATAACAAAATACTTTTTCATATGTGTGTGGGTAACAAAATGATCGAGACCTGCACTGACCACACTGAATCAGTGAGTTGTTTATTTGAGAACCACTGCGAATTGATTACTCTGATTCTGCAAACATTTTGGGATTGATTGGAAATAATCGAACTGAACTAAAGTACACTGTTCACTTCTGACTATTAACAAACAAAATGGTCATCCTCTCTATATTCGAATGCAAGTCTGGCACCATTCTGGACTGGAATGCCCACTTTTCACCTTCCAAACAATGAATAATCCTAAAACAATGTTGGTGTTGCTGAATATTTTATTTCATTCGTTTTAAATACATCGCATTACTGAAGTAAAACAGGTAGTGGAAGTCTTTCATGTTAAGTTAAAATGCTGACCTTGCACAAATTATATCATGTGACATTTAAAGTCCCCATGAAATCAAAATGAAAGTTTTTTGGGTGTTAGTATCAATATGTTAGTCTTAAGGTTATCTATAAGGCAGTGTGCTCCAAAACAGTGACAAAATTCGCATTTAGAAGATATAAGCATTCAAAGCTTGCAGTTCGTCACTTCCGCCAAAACGGCTCAACGATTTTTTTGACGTCACATCGTACTTCAGCTTCTCATCAAACTTTCTGTCCAATCAAATGCTCTCTAGAATCCGAAGCCCCGCCCCCTACACTATAAATAGACGCTGAAGCCGCGGCTGAAATCGGTCACTTGTCCACAGAATCAGTATTTTCTGTACAGTGAATGGCACGTAGTGCACTATATAGGGGACAGAGAACGATTCAAACAGTGTAACTATGCTTTCCATTGAGGAAAAAAAGACGTCTGGTTTGGCGCTGGGTCACACTAACCACCGCACCGCACACACACTCTGCTCCGGTCCAG